TTCTCTCATCACTTTAATGAGAGTGAATGTTGGATTAAAGATCCCTGGAATGATACAAGCCAGTTCACAATGAACTAGGCAGTAGATTTTCCTTGGGAGATATTTTAAGCTTGACCTTACCCAGCAGGTTCCACAAATGCCTCCTGCTACCATTAGGTATGTGGCATATAAATCCAAATTTCTAGAGCAATATCTCTATAGAAGTAGATTGCCCAACCTTCTGCCAGCCTTCTGGTTAGCAGTCAAATGCCTTAGTCACTATATCACCAAAGCTCCTTAGAAAGCCAAATAGAAATTATTTTTTTGTTTAATGCTCTAAGATAGTGAATCTTTTCATTAGTGTGGTTAATTAGGAGCTGACTTGAAGTGATTTTCAAGAAAACTGTCATCATAGAGAGTAAATTGATCCATTTGTATCAAATTCTTATTATGTTATTCCTGTAGAAGTTTTTCAGGTAAGAGTATGATGCATGGTCTAGTGCATTTTTAATATTGAAAGGTACCTTAAGGAAGTCAACAGGTCCAGCCATCTGTGATGCCTCAATTTCCCTGAGTTCCTTTATAAGTGACTTTGTCACTCAAATTATTTATCTCCAGTGAAGGAGAATTTGTTTCTATGGCAATATTTTCATCTTTTACTTTTGTAACATTTAGATTTTACTTTTTCTTAACATTTAGATCTTTTTACCTTCGTGTATCATTGCATGTACTTCTGAGCGTGTCATATCTTGCTGATTCATTAGGAACTGACTACACTCACCTTCTGTGTATTCCACAGGTATCTAAAGATGATCGAAGTGATATTGAATCTAGCTCAGATGAAGAGGGCTCAGAACCTCCAGGGAAGAACCCCCACACTGCGACAACCACCAATGGGACCAGTGGAACTAATGGGTACCTCCTGACTGGCCCTTGCACCGTGGATGATTAATTACTCAAAACTATAAGTCCTGAACAAAGTGAACTATTTGTTCTGGGAATTATTTAATAAGTTGCAAATGCAGTTCCTTTCATAATATCTCAGCACCAGAAACAAAATTTAGGATTATCAAAGCATTTTGATAGTGCACTGCCATATACCTGTCTGTGACACCATTCTCTATACGTAGGCATGCTGTCTGTGATTGACACAAGGGAACAGTACTGTCTTAGAATATTATTTATTTTTTTTGTATTTGTTTGTAAATCTGTGGACAAAAGAGGATTTCCTCACTCCGTTTTCTCTCTGGGTTCATGACAGTGAGGGAGACGCTCCATCCGCTTCTACCCCTTCCTGTTGTAGCCCAGTCTGCTATGCGCATCAGCTTAATTTGTCACATAGAAGCAAGAAAAACCTAGTGCAAAATTCCCATACGGCTCCCAATAGCTTCTTTGTTACAGTGCCTAGTTTGAAATTGCCTGTGCAGTCTCCATGACCATTCTCCCAGTGTAAAGTTTAAACAGGAAGAGCCAGGTTTTTAAATCATCACTTGGTGGGGTCAATTAGCAGTTCAAATTAAAGAACATGGTGATGGGAAGACTTTTAAAGAATTGTTTTTGTATAAAATTGCTTCAACATAGACTTCAGTTCTTGTACACAGAGGCAAGATTTCTTCAGTGAATGTGGTAGCTAGTTGAAGATTAAGTCTACCTGGTATGAGTCACTAGAAATCAGAATTGACTCGATGGCACACTACGATAACAGCAGCAATATGATGAGGTCATCACTTTGGCTCTGAAGAAAGCTCATAGTTACAAATAAAGAATTCACTCTCATGTTGGGAATATTTTCCCATAAGCCAGGGGAAAAAGGGAAAAAGAAGAGACCAACTGATTGCAACCAGGTTTTGCCATTAATCCTATAATTTTTTCTGTCATGTCATGAAGAGAAGAAGTGTATTTCAGGGCAGAAAATGGAGACTTTAAAGAGTTGGCAAAAAGCACCTAAAGTATAAAACACTTTGCTGCATTCAGCCTTCAAGAAAGAGCCCTATCTAGTATTCGTTCTTGATGTTTTTATTTTTCTGACCAAAATAAAGTCAAAGAGAGAAAGACTCTTTTACCGTTTATCTTTTGTTCTTAAGGAGCCCTGGTGGCATGGTGGTTAAGTGCTCACATGCTAACCAAAAGGTCAGCAGTTTGATGTTCAAACCCACTAGCCACTCCATGAGAGAAAGATGTGGCAGCTTGCTTCCGTAAAGATTACAGCCTTAGAATCTCTATAGTGCAATTCTGCTCTGTCATACAGGGTCACTATGAGTCAGAATTGATTCAACAGCAATGGGTTGGTTTTTCTAGTTTCTTTTCTCCTTAAACATAATCCAGAATAGCTTTCCTGTTACTAGAAATTAATAGTGTCACACTCCATGTTCAGGAATATTTTTTTCAAATGGAGCAATTTTCAGAAAAACAGTAAGAACTCTATTGAACACTGGCAATATCAGCAATGAGATAGATTGCTGAAGATAAGTTCTAAAAATTCTCCTATCTGTTAGTGTTATTTGTGTATAGCTAAGAAACTGATACATCTACACCAAAGATTTTTCCCCCCTACTTTTAGTAAGACAAAATGAAAAGGTATTAAAAACACTTATTTCATAAGTCAGAAAGACCATCATCTATAAGAAGAATCCAAAACAAAACTGTAGTAATATAAATGTGGGGACCAGGGCACAGTGAAGGCAAACGGCATGCACGTCCCACTCAGAGATGTTCACATTCAATTCCATTTTTGAAAAAATAAAGTTTTGTGCCCACAATTTGCAATCTGTGAGTGAGTTAAACGTGGAAGGAAGACTAGATAGTCTACTTCTGTGAAGATTTACCACCTCGGAGACCCAAAGAGGGTCACTGTGAGTTGGAGTCTACTTGATGGCAGTGAGTTTGGTTTTTGGTTTAGAGTGAGTTAAAAGAATGCTTCCAACACCTCTCACGGTAATATTAAATCATATTTACGAAATAGTATGTTTTTGGCATGGCCCAAAACAGTAATTTAGAGGCCTGAAAATAGGACAGGAGCTCTAGTGATGTAATGCCTAACGCATTTGACTGCAAGCCAGAAGTCTGGTGGTTCAAACCCAACAGCCACTCCTCGGAAGGAAGGTTGGGCAATCTACTTCCATAGTGATACCACCTCGGAAACCCAAGGAGGTGTTGCTATGAGTCGGATCTGACTAGATGGCATTGAGTTTAGTTTTTGAAAATAGGACTGTTTATTGAGAGAAAAATGCAACTCATTCTACTTGTAAATTATTTTATTTCACAAAATACGGATATAATAATACTGTAATTTGTGGATGATTTGAGTTGGTAATAACAATAATAAAACAGAAGTACTTGTTAGTTGTCTGAACATCTGCTATAATGCAGAAATATATAAAAAGGAGCTCTGGTAGCATAGTGCCTAAGGCACTTGACTGCTAACCAGAAGGCTGGCGGTTCAAACCCACCAGCCACTCCTTGGAAGGAAGGTTGGGCAATCCTACTTCCGTAGTGATACTGCCTCGGAAACCCAAGGAGGGGTCGCTATGAGTCGGGGGTCGACTCGACGGCACATAACAACAACAACAACAATATCAAACATATTATAGTTAACAAATGTTGAGAAGGTGAAGTTTCTCTTCTTGTCAACCACAATATAAAACACAAAAGTAAATTCCACCTTGTTTTAGTGTCTATGGCAAGTCCTGTCTAGGGGAGAAATGAAGCAGAGAATCACAGTGTATTCAAGTTTTGATCATATGGCACTGTTCAGCACAGAAGAATAATTTCATGAAGATCACCTTATAAATTAAAGATTTAGAAAGTTGCATAAAATGAAGTCATTTGAGGCTGCCGTTATCAAAAACGAATCTAAGCAGTGGGTTGTGTTGTTTTGTTTTTCCCAGAAACCACTTAGAAGGAAGACTGGGAGGAATCAAAACTCTCTGATCCATTTAACATGGTCCGCTATATAGCTGTGTGTTTTTATTCATTATACATTTAAGAACAAAGAGTTCATCTTGGCTAATCAAAATGGAGCTTGTAGGCGTTTTTGAGGTAGAGAGTAACATATCTTTGTCCACTGCTCTCAACTTCCCATGGTGGACTGAAAAGGCTGGAAGGAAAAAAAAATGTGAATTATTTTATTTTCTACTAGTGCCAGGCCACAGCTTTGGAAGTGTAGTTTGTAAATTCAGCTATAGTTTAGTGAGAGTGTTGTTTCCCATTAATTAACTTAGCCTGTGTTTATATCTCCTTCCGCCTGGTCATAGTCAAACCATCCCAGAACACAAAGGGGTAGGTAGGAAGGAGTCTAGGAAAAGTAATTATGCTATTCTCTGATGTTATAGCTTTTCTAGGTCTCTTAGTGAGAGAAAAAGTAGAAAATCAAGTAGAATTTGGCCTTGAGTCAATAAATGATATAAAAATATGTAATCTATATATGTATTTGTATGTTTATCCAAAAACATGATAAAACCAAAATATCACTGACTCATCCATATTTTTTTCATAAACACTGTCCACCACATAAAAAAGAACCTTCCCACCATCTTTGTCAGTCTTTTGTTCATGCTGCTGACACAGATGAGGGTGGTAAAATTCTTTCAGGCTCTTAGCCACAGAGCTAAATATGGCAAAGTCCAAGTTATATGGAGCCAAATACAGTTCACATTTCCAAATTTACTTGTATGGCTGTTGACAGTAGGGGAGCAACTATCAGGATTTTGAATTGTTGAAGTGTGTGTTGTGAAGATGTGGATAGTGGCAGCTTCACCTCGGTTTTATTAACATCCGTCTCCTGCAGGACTACTAGACAGACATCATCCTGAGGTACGATCAGACAGTGAAACAGGCATCTGACAAAGTTGAACTAGGCAGGAAAGGTAGGTGCCCCCAAAATGCAGGCAATTGGGTGAGAGAAGTAACTCTTAAGTAAGATAAGATCAGATCACATTTAGCCTAAATGGTGGATGAAGCTGCAAATGTGCAGTTCTGATGCCAAAGTTTTCATTCTGAGTATTTGGTAAAACTTTGAAATTGAGCAAACTAAATGTTTTCAACATAGATAGAAAGGATCTAAATCTTCCGCTTTGTATATTTCAATCTCATTGTTACTTGGGCCAAAGTTAAAAAACTAGATTTCATTTCAGCTGACCTGAGTCTTTGTATAAAAGCTCTTCAGAGAGAACTTTATAGACACCCATCATTGTCCCCAGTCTGTTCATGATTTTGCATTGGTAGTTACTTTTGTCCGTTTCTTGGAAATGCTAATACCAAAGCTACCCAATTTGAGTATTTTTCTTAATTTGAAAAGTATACAAAATGATTTTCTAAATTAATTTGAAGCATAAAAAGTATACAGAATAATCCCAAAGGTGTTAAAAGATTCTGTATATCAGTATGTGTAATGATGTAAGGAGCTTTGGTGGTACAAGGCCTAAGGCATTGACTACTAACCAAAAGGTCAGCGGTTCAAACCCACGAGCTAGCTGCTCCATGGAAGGAATGTGGGACAATCTACTTCCATAAAGATTTACCACCTTGGAAACCCAGTGTGGGTCAACTATGGGTCAGAACTGACTTGATGGCAATGGGTTTGGTTTTTTATTTTTTTTTGTAATGATGTTATTGTGTCCTCTAAGACATCCTTTGAAAATAAAAAGTTAAATGTTTATAATTCATGCAGTATTTGAGGTCTTCCAATCCTAATTAGCTTACTTTTTTTTTCTTTGTCTTTGGCTGATTCCTACTTTGTGGATAAATGTTAGTAGCCCTGAAATGTATCTCACATCCAAATAAGAAAAAATTAGATTAAATCAGCCAGATGGACTACTGATTGTAAGACATTTTACGTTTCTGAGTAATTTGCATGGAAAGAGAAAATGCAGTTGGCTCTCCAGTTATTGCACTTGCCATCTAGCATGCTGTCCGTGGAAGGAATACTTTCAATAATTATAAACTATTCTTGAAATCATATAAAATGCAGCAAGATATCTTTTTTAAATGTCTCAAATCAATTTAAGTTTCTCTTGGTAAAATGAAATTGTGCCTTTCTTAAGTTACCGGATAGTAATTAGCATTAGTTCACTGTGGCCACATTTTATTTCCTCAAAGAGATCAGAAAAGGGCCTTGAAATTTTTGCCATTATCTACTCTAGTAGTCTTTTGTGTACACGGCTCCCTCCTCTCCTCTAGGGGGGGCTTAGGAGGCCTGTCCTCTCTATGTTATTGGAACTCCTTTAATAAACATTGTGAGTGGCGTAGTGCCTAAGGCATTTGACTGCTAACCAGAAGGCTGGCGGTTCAAACCCACCAGCCACTCCTCGGAAGGAAGGTTGGGCAATCTACTTCCGTAGGATACTGCCTCAGAAACCCAAGGAGGCATCGCTATGAGTCGGATCTGACTCGATGGCAGTAAGTTTGGTTTTTTTGGTATACCTGATGTTTCACGAAGAAAATTGTATTCAAGCACAAAAACTGTTATTTAAAATAATAATATTTTAAAAAGCTGTTAATAAGAGCTGCAGACACCAAAAGGGGAACATTTTGACTTTTC